TGTTGTTGTTGTTGTTGTTTTTCAAAAGAAATTTATTTTGTTCATCTGGCTTATTACGTCTCGATATTTACCACTATTTATCGCCAGAATCCTCTTGGAATTCTTTCTTATATAAATATGGTTTAACTCCTTTGGGAGTCGCAAGTTAAAAGATAATATACAATAGCGATATCAAGTATTGATTATGAAAGTTACTCTAGCAGTTTTCGTGATGAGTGGAAAAAAATACAAATTTGTATATTCGTACTCTAGCCCTCGTAACGTATCTTACTGTAGCCGTAACTAGGCCTTGTGGCTGGGTGAATTACTAGAAGACAATGGGAAGCCATTTTAGTGTTACTGGTGTATGTCGAACCGCGTATGTGCTGTAAGTCAGTACCGCATGTTTCCCACTCATATACGATAACCATATTCTTATGGCAAGCCATTTCAATGTTACGGCATGTCGTAGCGTGTATGTGCTGAAGTCAGTACCGCATGTTTCCCACTCATATACGATAACCATATTCTTATGGCAAGCCATTTCAAGGTTACGGCATGTCGTACCGTGTACGTGCTGTAAGTCAGTACAGTATGTTTCCCACTCATGCGATAACCATTCTTATGGGAAGCCATTACGATGTTACGGCATGTCGTACTGTGTACATGCTGTAAGTCAGTACAGTATGTTTCCCACTCATGCGATAACCATTCTTATGGGAAGCCATTACGATGTTACGGCATGTCGTACCGTGTACGTGCTGTAAGTCAGTACAGTATGTTTCCCACTCATATACGATAACCATTCTTATGGAAAGCCATTTCAACGTAACGGCATATTGTACTGTGTGCGTGCTATAAGTAATTACCGCATGTTTACTACTCCTCAACTACTCAAATATGATACACGATGAATCTTTATGGCTTTGTTATTTTCCCGGAAAGTCATTTATCACTTATAAGGAATTTTTTCGTTGTTTTCTAGGAAATTATCTATTTATTGAGTCATCGGATAAGAACCTTGGCAAGAAAGCTGTCCTGAAGCTGGAGGGACTAAACACTATAGCCGGAGGGCCAAAATGCTTTAGTTTTAAGTACTTCATGTTTGGAAGGGATATTGAGACCTTGATGGTGTTCCAAGAGAACAGACCTATATTCACTTTGAGCGGACCTCAGGGTAATCGGTGGATGAAAGCAACAGGAAGGCTCTTTCCGGCTGCACAAACCAAGGTTATTATAACTGCAGTAGAAGTTATATCATTTATTTGTCTATTAATTCGTTTACTCAATAAGTCTTGATTGCATTCCAGATCACAATACATGGTGTTGTCGGTATAGGTCCAAAAGGTGACATAGCCATTGACGAAATTGAATTCTTGTCTGATGCCAACTGTGGAAAAAATGGTAAGTGATTCTAATTTTGTTGTTGTTGTTGTT